CAAAAACGTTTCGGTATGCCTAACTAATTTACTTTATATATTTTATTTTTCTTAGAATATTTATCTCGCCATCTTTAATGGAGGAAGATAATGATTCAGATATTGAATACATTTCAATAGAAGATATAATGTCTCTCTGGGCTAACCAATTATAATATAAATGACTTCGACTACCTTCCCAGTCATCGAAGATGTTACTGTCACACATTAAACTTAGTGGCAACACAAGATGCCAATAAAATACTTTTAAACAATGAGGATTATAGGAAAGTGTATAAGGTTGCTATTTCTAAATGTAAACGTTTGTGGAATACATAAAACAAATCTGGACCATCAGCTGAGTTAATTAAAAAGAGAATACATTCTCAGCTGCCATATACCATTGTAACAAGATGGGGATCTTTTTATACATCTTTATCTAAAATATTATCCCTTATAAATAAAATGCCTTTGGAATTTGATTTATTATGTGACGAATTAGAATTGTGTAGATTTATATCACAAGATAGTGATTTTATTAAAGAACATTGCAGTGTAAATTTAAATAATGTCTTAATAATTTACAATTAAAAAAATTAGATTATGCAACCAGTAGCCAAAGCTATTGATATATTAGAAGGCGAAAAATATATGTATCGAGGTTATTATACCACAACAATAACACATATACTTATCTGTCTGGAAGGTTAGAAAAATTAAAATATTGTCAACCTTTAAAAGATGCTTTATTATCTAGTTTTAAAAAAGGTAACTTAAATTAAATAATTATTTATAAATTAATAATACAATGATATAGGTTTCATGATTCTTATGATAATGATAACATAATTGCTGCAATTCTTCATCCACAATTTAAAACTGATTGGCCTTGGATAAGACAAGAAAAGATCAAAAAAGATGGAAATTTTAAATTTAATAAATACTTTAATACATCGAAATGAATCTAACATCATGTTCGCAACAAACATCATTAGATGTTGGATTTTTTGATTTAAAGCGTCAAAATATTATTGATAATGATGAATTTATTGAAAATTTTATTAAATCCAATAACAGCACATTATCTTTATATGACGATTTTCCTAATTTAAAAATACTCTTTATTAAATATAATGTTGTTATTACATCAAGTGTTCCTGTAGAGCGTTTATTCAGTCTAAGGAAGCTCATCTTTGGAGAGAAACGAGCGCGTCTCCTAGATAAAAATTTTGAAATCCAATTCTTGTTAAAAGCAAATAAACATTTATTAAACTCAAATTTTTATGAAAAATAAATGTTTTCTTTTCAATGCAAATATATAGGATATTTTTTTTCGATGTAAATGTAAATATTTCTACTTTTTCCGATACTTTTTTCGGTTTACTTATTTTTTTATATAAATAAATTTTTAGACAAATGATTATAATTTGTATATCATAATTTTTTTATATTAAATGAATTCGTTCAGTAAATAAATGCGTTATATGAATGATGTATAAAGTAACTTATAATGTAACTAGTTATTTTAATAACTGTAAATAATAACTAGTAACTGTTACTAGATATATTTTTGCTAATATAACTAGTAACTGTAACTAGTTATGTTTCAAAAGTAACTTTAACAACACTAAATACAATGTTTAAGATAGAATCAGAGATAAGCCGGGTAGTACCAAAAGTGCAGACGGAGGAGAAGAAGAAGAAACTATAACAGCAATAGATTTAATATCTAATAAAGAATGTTGATTATTTTTCTTTTGGTGAAACAAATGTTGCTGAGTTTAATACAGGGTTTCCCATTCAAAAAAGGAAAAGTCCCAATCAAAAAAGGAAAAGGCTTAAACATTAAAGGAAAAGGGTCAATCAAAAGAGGAAAATTCTCAAAAAAAAAGGAAAAGATCCAGTCAAAAAAGGAAAAGGTCCAATCAATAAAAGGAAAAGATCCAATCAATAAAAGTAAAAGGTCCAATCAAAGAAGGAAAAGGTCCAATCAAAAAAGGAAAAGGTCCAATCAAAAATAGAAAAGTGTCAATTGAAAAAAAAAATTCCCAAAAGGAAAGGATAAGTGTCAATCAAAAAAGGAAAATTCCCATTTAAAAAAGGAAAATCGTAATTTTTTTAAATTTTTATTTATTTTTGTTATTCCTTCTTAATTTATTTCTAAATTTTTGCGATTTCTTTACGTTTTTTTTCTTAATGTCTCTTTTTTAATTTATTTCTAAAATATTGCGATTTTCTTTACTTTTATTTTTTTTACTATATCTTCTCTCAATTTATTTTTTCTCTCATTTTTGATAATTCTTTTGTATTTTTAAAAATAATTTATAAATTTAGGCCCATTTTTTTTAACAATTCTTTACGTTTTTTTTTTCATCATACATACAATATTCCTTTTATGATTTTTTCATTGTAATCTTTTTTTTACATACATTTCTAACCTTTTCAATCTCTTTAAGTCATTTTTAATCTTTATTTTTTTGAGCATTTCACTTCCATTTTATAGAACAGAAGAAATAGAAATACAAAAGTTAAATAAGGCTGAGCATGAAAAAAAATGTACAAATACAAATTGAAGGAAAAAATGGTAAAGGTAAGTAGCATATATTTTATAAAAATTAGGTTAGGCATTGATATTGATACTGTTATAAATTTAATCAGTGAATTCGAATTGTGGGATAAATATTTACTACGTTTAGCTATTTTACCTGAGCATGCTATTGATGCGCTCAATCAGTGTAAAGAAACCTTGGCTCAATTTCCTAATATTTTGAAGTTGTTTTATATTCTTGCATGTTTGCCTATTACAGCATGTACGAATGAAAGAGAAGGTTGAAAATTTACGAAATACTACTTCCGAATCTCTGCTAAATGGGTTAGCTCTGTTAAATATCCACAGAGATTTGGTTCCAACGACAAACGAAATTCTTGATGAATTGGCAACATTCCCATGAAGATTAAAAATAACAATATAATTATAGTATTTAATAAAAAAATTTGTATAATATTGTATTTGATAAGAAGTTAAAAAAAACTTGTTTTTAATTTATTTTGTCAATATTTTATACACACTACTATTAGTATTTTCAATAAAAAAATTATATTCTACTTATATTGTATGAGAATTTAAGCTGAGGCTAGTTTTTAAAGCAAATTTTATAAAAAAATGACAATAAATTTTATTTCAACTTTACATTTAAAAAAACTTTATTAAATATAATATACCTAACTTAAAATAATAAAAAATAGGCTTGTAATAAATAAGCACGATTTAATAAATAAAAGTTAAAAATAGAAATATAATTATTATTAAATTATGAATAATTTAATAGATAAGTTAAAACATAAGACCCGGCCGAAGGCCGGGAGAAAGCTGTGCGAAGGCCAGGTAAGGGGGGTTTAGGGGCGAAGCCCCGGGAAAATTTCCCCCCTCTCTATAAGAAAATCCTGGAAACTCCACTGTCAGTAATGGAACTACTCTGGGAAAAGTGGGAAAGATGGAGGTGTTAATTCAACTGTTGTTGCAAGGGTAAGATATGCCTAGAAAAAGCTTCTAGAAATGTCTTTATTCTAACAGATAATAACATATCTCTAAAGCTGAAAGGAAAAGCTTATGTATGGTGTGTCAGAAACTGTAAGGTGGCGAAACGTAGATAATGAAAGCGACGAAAGAAGCTAAATTGGAAAGAACGAAGATGAGAATGGTTAGATAGATGTTTGGGGTGTCTATAAGGAAGAGAAAAGCAAGCAACCAATTGCGGGAAAGGATTGGTATAGACGGAATTGGAGTTGTGATGAGAAGAAATATACTAGTGTTTTTAAAAAGCTCGCCAAAATAATATTATGTAAACCACGAGATTTTGCAACTAAAGGTCCAATCTATGGGCAAAATCTCCAGTCTAACATAATATCAGAGACCTGCAAGCCTGGCCTTAAGTCCGGTTTACGAGCCGGGTATTATTTTTATTTTTCAAGATTACCAAGGTCCGGGCCTAAAAAATTTTTTTAATATCCGGACCGGGTCGATTATTTTAAATAACCATTATTATCTATCTTTCCTATTTCCATTTTTTATTTTCTTAGAAAATATTTATAGACACATTTAAAATTAATCATTCAACTAATCATTCAAACTAAAAGCAACAATGATACATCAAAATATAATACACTTTTTAAGGGAAATTATTCAGATAAGTATCATTTTATCCTTTTTCACTGTCCCAAACTCAGCAGTTACGTATGTTGCCAGTGAGAAAGCGCAAAATGACTGATACTTAAATAAATGAAAATATTAAACTACGAGGAACATGAAATAAGGGAATTACCCGATAGAAAGTGTGGTGATTCAAACTCATTCCTTTTACAACAAAGGGGAAAAAAGTTATTATATAGGGATTTCATATTTGTTGAAAAACGATCGGTAAAATGCCGAATAGATATATATTTTTTTAAACCAAGGTTGTTGAAAAATTTATATACCTTGTACCCTGGCCAATTCTTAAAATGTCCGGGCCCTGGCTGGACCTAAAAATATATAACCCGGACAGAGCCGAGAAATATTTTTAAAAAAATATCTGAGCCGGGTCAGGCTAAAAAAATTTTTATATGTGCAGGGCCATGCAAATGGACCTCTGACTGAAGGTCTCTGCAAAATATTATTTTAGAAAAAATCCTAATCGGGCCATTTTTAAAATTCGACCTAAATCGGGCTTTTTACAACACTACTGATATGGTTTGGGCACGTTGAACGAAAGATGTATGGATTTGGGGTGCACTTCATTTGAAGTTTTGATCAAGGCCTCGAGGAAGATCAACGCAGACGTGGGTGAAGGGGACGGATGACAAAAACAATGGGTTAGCGACGCCAAAACGGCAAAAAGTGGAGAAAAGGAATCACAGGGGATACCAGGTAAACCTGGAAAAAGCCAATAAATGACAAAGAAGACTTAATTTTAAATCTTCCCTTGTATTTATGAAATAGGGAAACAAATAAAATTCATTTTATCTATTATATATAACAAAACTTGGTTTATTGCTGGATTGTTTATCAAAGCATTACATCCCAAACATTTAGTGGTTGATGCTGTGATAAAAGCTATGTTTTTGCCCAATATATCAATGCTCGAATAGTCGGTAACCTTAATATTAATATAATTTGTATTATAGAATCGGTAGGTTTTAGTTATATTAATAGATGGTTCGCGATTTAAATGGAGGGGAAGGGGGGGGGGCTAAGAATATAAAAAAAAATACTCACGGTAGGATAATGTTGATGATGAAGTAGCAAATTTGTAGCGGGTGTAGGTATTAAAGGGGATGGCAGTTGAGTTTTACCGTCTCGGGCTAAGGCTAAGACATTTTCCAAATGCGATATTGGGAACGGTCGTTTTTCATTCATCACTGACACTGACTCATCTATTTCTTTTTATAAATCAGAGTAAAATTATTTTTTATTATAGTTTGGAAGACGGGAGTGGGCAGCAAAATTTTTTTAAAATAATATAGTAGCTTAATTATTGGAGAAATAATTCTTAACAGCAGTCAAAAATTTACCACATCTCACGATTTGTTTTGATATCATATAACAAAATTATATATTTTAAATTTATAAAAGCCTATATATTTAATTTAACATCATATGATATAAATATAATAATACTTTCGTATTTTATTAAAATTATTAACTCATAATGTTTTATTTTTAAATTTCATACAATATTTTACCATAAAATGTATTCTAAATCCAATCAGACCACACCAATTTTGAATTTGACGTTAATAAAACATATTTCCTCTGACTTATATTATAATTTTACATTTATTATATTTTTTAAAATGATTCTGTATAATTCATAGATGCCAAATACTTTAATGCTAGTCGAGGGAGACATTTCGGAAGAAGCATCGATGAATCAGACAATGAAGAAGATATATTGCACACTCTTTACGATGATTCTCCTTCAACTTCATTTCAAGTCGAGATAGAAGATCCAGAAAATAATGATAATATTATCATCCAAAATAATATGAAATGGAGAGTAGGTGATATCCATCAATTGGACACAAATTTTATTAATACATTTTCCATTTCAACCAATATATTAACTCCATATCAATACTTTAAATTATTTATTTCAGATAATATACTAAATAATATATGTGAACAAGGTAATTTATATAGTATTGTATATGATTTTAAGATTTATGCGGGAAAGCAAACTAATCCAACACCATCAGAATTAGAGATAAGTGGTGATATAGTCCTCCAATTGGCCAAAAATATCCCAAAATTTCAAAATCATAAACTCTTTTGCGATAACTACTTTCAATAGCATTGGCTAAAAAATTGAAAGAAATCGGTATATTTATGGTAGGGACTATAAGAAGTAATCGGGTGAAAGATTGCAAGTTAAAATGCGATAGAGACTTTAAAAAAAGATAGTCACGGGAGCTATATAATAATTGTCAAATGGTATGACAATAAGTTTATGCACGTCATCTCATCCTTTATCGGTGTTCATTCAATAGAAAATGTAAAAAGATGGTCACTAAGTAGAAAAAATATACTGAAGTGCCAAGACCAAATATATTAAAAATATATAATGAAGGGAGGAGTCAATTTACAGATATGCTAGTTGAATGCTATCGAATAGATATTAAAGAAAAAAGGTTCTACTTAAGAATCATTTTTCATCTCATTGATATGTTAATGTAAATTCATGGCTTTTGTATAGGCGGCAAATATGCCATGAAAAAGAGAATAAATTCATGAAACTTATCAAATTTAAAACACATATTGTTAAAGCATTGTTATCGGCAGGCAAAATTAGTAAAAGAAAATCAGGGAGACCTTTGAATGAACCGATAATTTAAAAAAAAGTCCTTCTATAATGGCTCTTATATCTGATATCAGATATAACAACATTAGTCATTGGCCGGATGCCTGCGAAACGAGGCAAAGATGCAAGTTATGCATAAATGCATACTCTAGAACAAAATGTAATATATATTTATGTTTTAATCAATATAGAAATTGTTTTCGAGATTTTCATAATAAATAAATATTTGTATTTTTTTGTATCACAGTATGCCTGATGATGTCAAATTGCATCATTTTTTTTACCTGTGTATTTAAAAATAAAATTTGGAAAACATGTAATGTATAAATGAATTTATAGAAATTTTTTTTTTAATTATTAAAAAGTTGGGCGTCAAAGGGTTAACTAATTGTTTAAAATATAATAGGTAGTACCTTTTGAAAAACTAAAGCAAAATTTTTTAATTAAATTGCTCTAAGAGCTAGAGCTATTATTTACTTTTTTTTCTCCTGGTATTAGTCGAAAGCATCAATATATGATCATCTTGGAAATGTAAAAATATTGGAGAAATGTATATAAAAATACTATAAATAATTTTCACCGTTGATTTTAAGTTGTTGGAGGGCGATTTGTAAAGAATTATTTGATTCTATTTCCGACTGGAGATTTTGTTTCAAGACTTCTATCTTTTGGGCGCATCGCTCTTCACAATATTCCTTGGCAATTTGAGAAGAAATATAGTCCTCTCCGAGTTTCAATAGGTATATTTGTAGATCCTTTGGTCGTTTTAAAATAGATTTTATATAATAATTTTTAAATCGAAATATATTGAGTTTATCTACTAAAGAACATGTTGTTATTGGGATATGGATTCGGATTTGGAATCTATCAATTTTCAATAATTTATTGAGGGCAAATTATTATTTTGAAAAATCTGATTTGACCGAAAATGTATTCCTAGGCCGAACTTTTAAAGTATTAAATTTATATCAATTTCAATTTTCATACAAATCAAAAAAATACAACAAAGTTTAAGGCGAGGGTAAGTGTTCTACATTTCTGTAATGCATTTCCGGTCAAATCAGATTTTTCAAATTTAAAAATCTCCTCAGTAAATAATATAAAATTTAGGGAATCCCAATCTCCTTGGACTCCATATCCCAATACGACATATATTCAAATATTCCATATTTATAGACATATTTTATTTCCATATTTCAAATTCATTTATTTGTATAACGGGTGATTAATTTCTTAAGGTTGTTTCCAAAACTTGTGTTAAAATTTTAAAAAAAAAGTAATTTAGATAATTATCATACACATGCTTTTTTGGTTTTTATTATTTACTAGTTTCTTTCAAAAAAAATATTTTATTTATTCCAACAAAAATTTATATAATAACAATCTTTCAAAATCAAGAAAATGCGAATTTTTTTATGTAAAAATAAAATTTATGATGATATGTCATCCGTTTCCTTTGTCTACACACCACCCTCTTTATCTTTCTCCTCACTCTCTTCTATCTCCTTCGTCTGATTGTACTTTTTGTTTCATTGATTCTTTTTCCCTCTTATTATCATTTCATTATATCTTCTTCAATCGCCGGGGTGGCCTAGTGAGTTATGATGTAGGCCTGGAAACAGAAGGTCCCACCCATGTTCAATCCTGGTAAGGAACATAAAAATTTTCAGGTTTTTCTACGATGACTGATGTGTAAAGACGTATGATAAACAACCGGGTGCTAAGGATACTTGTCCAATAAACAAAAATGAAGGAAACAAACAAAAATAGTAATATGAAAGCTAGGGCGTTCCCTCCAAGCGACGCGCAGGGTGTAGACCTCCATCCTGTGAAAAGTAAAGTAAAGGTCAAAGCAAAGAAGACAAGGTTAGCAAGTTTGAATATTGGGACACTTAAAGGTAAGACGAGAGAATTGGCATAAATGTTGAACAAGAGAAAAGTTTATACAGCGTGCATACAAGAGACGCGATGGAAAGGTCAGGAGATGGGTATAAATTGTACTATAATAGAATTTTTAGCAATAGGGAGGGTGTCGGCATCATCCTCAGTCAAGATCTAACCTTCTCAGTGGTAGAAGTTAATAGGATCTCTGATAGACTAATGAAGATAAAACTCTGCATTGGTCAATCAATACTACACATCCTTTCAGTATATGCTCCTCAAACGTTGCAAAAAAGTGGAGAAAGATGACTTTCCTCCATTTTTTTTCTTCCTTTTTCTCCCTCAGTTTTATTTACTGTTTCACTCTCACTATTTTTTTTCATTTAGGTTTGTTATATTCTTGCCTCCAATTTATTTATCATCTTTTTTGTCCCTCGTCTATTCTTATTACTCATTATCGTCCCTCTTCTTTGTTTGTTTCCCTATATCCTCTCTTATTTTAGTTTTACTGCTCGCCTTTTTTTATTCTCGCCACTACTATCATTTCATTTTTTCGATTTCCGCACTTAAATCCACCTTTCTTGATCTCTTCTTCGCCATTGCCGATATCTGTTTTTGTTAGCCTTTGTTCTTTTACCATTATTTTTGCACTTCCTCTTTTCTCCATTTTCCTTCTCTCGTTTTGTATTTTAACTGTATTATTTTTATAATCTATTTAATTCATGTTCTCTTGTTCCCGATCTCTTGTTTTTCTCTCAAACATCAATCTCCTTCTTCTTACATCAATCTCTACTCTATAATTTATAGATATCTTTCTTCTTTCTTGCTACCCTATTGTTCTTTCGGTCCTTTTCGTCCTAACCTATCTTTCCATCTGTTAATCCCTCCATTTTGCTGATCCTTTTGTTCTAATCTATCATCCTATCTTGCCAATCCTTTTGTCTTAACATATTTAAAGCATACATATAATTGTTTGATTTTTTGTTCTAATCGATCATTCCATTTTGTTATTTTTTCTCATGTTCTACCTTCAAACGTTATTCCACCAACTTCCCGAGGATCTTTCCATTATACTAATGTTCTTAAATGGCTTGATTATCGATTTTTAAAAAAGGCTAACTCAATATTATAGCCAGAAAAATATTGACTAGGTCTCGAGATTTTGCTGGATAAAATATTGAGTAAGCCGTTTGTAAAATTCGGCGAAAATCGAACCATAATACCTATTACCCCTGCAATTTCTCATCAAATATCCTACCTCCAGTGGCGCAGCCAAGAGGCGGATTTGGGGGATTGAACCTCCCCCACCAGTGAATTTAGAAATAAATAATTTAAAATAATATTTAGTGCCGTATGCGAGGGGAGGGGGGAGGTTGAAACCTCCTTTATGGAAAATATGATTGGATAAAATCTCTGTTTCCATAATACTTTTATATTGATATCGTCATTTTATAATCAAATTTTACATAAAAAAATTGTTATAAATTTTATGTAAAAAAACGTAAGCATTCCCAGATACGCTATAAATCGTATGGGATCGACCTTTGATCTTTATTATTTTGAAATATAATGGTACCACTTTACTAAAAGAATCACTCAACCCTAGCGTTTGAGGGTAAAATTAGGTATTATGGGGGGGGGGGAGATTTAAACCTTTTTCAATGAAAAATCAAGTCTCCGACTACCTTTTTATGCCACCTTATAAGAGTACAAATCTACTAAGGAGACATAGTCTTATATTTTGAAATATGAAAAATGTTGATCTTTCACGATGATTTTGATATTTTGTTTATTAATTTTTTTTATTATAATTAGATTGAATTTTAGTAATTTTCATATTTTGCTAATAACTTTTTTATTTATCCTGATTACCAAACGCATTGAAGATTAAACTAAAAAGTAATATTGATTGATTCTATAATTTTCACTCTAGCATGAGGCCACAATCTTGGCAAAAATGCGTTTTTCTTTAAACTATCTACCAACAGGGTTGAAGCACTACTAAGTAAGGAGTAAACATTGATACAAATGTCAGAATTAATACTTTCAGAAGTTTGGCTGACTTCACACATGAGATGTGAAATATAGTTAGAATTAGTGTTTCCAAAAGCTTAGCTCACTTCACGCTTAAAGCGTGACATCATAATTTTCATTTTGCCACATTGATTGAGAAATTAATAAGTACTAGTCAAACACTAAATATCAGCGCAAACCAAATATTTGGTTATTCTATATTTTGAATTCTAGCATGATTATTTTTCCTTATTTTTCTAATCACTTTTTTCTTTATACTGTCTACCAAACGGATTAAAATATTATACTAACATTGATTAAATTTTCCGAATAAATGCTTTCAATAGCTTTTTAATTGTAAGATTAACCAAAATTTTGTTACTAATAACTTTTTTATTTATACTGACTATTATGCTGCGAAGCATTGGCATAGATTTCGAAATTTGTGCCACCAATTGTTCAGCCAACTTTAATGGAGAGATATAATGATAATCATATTTATTAAAGAGCAAAATATAAATGACTACGGGAAAATTATTAATTTATAAACATAATTTTCCATAAGAGGGGCATCCAGCCGAAAAGAGGCAAAGAAGAGTCCCCCCTCTCACTAAAAAATTATACACCCTCTTCCCTGGATAAATCAGTACGAAATTTGTAAATTATATATGATAATTACTTTCAAGGATTTATTTGCCTTTTATCGGTTATTTTCTGGGTTCAGTGCATCAACGCCATTTTTCAGCGGAAGATGAAAGCTGTCCAAGACTTAGAGGGTGTTATTTTTTATTGTATGGATGATGTGTTGATAACTAAGGTGAAGCCAGAGCAATATAATCAGAGCTTAAAAGTTCTAGCAAATTCTTAACAAAGGTTTTAAAGCCAGTCAAGAAAAGAATGTTTTTGGGGCCATTGAAAATGTTAATGTAAGGACACAAGATTAATGGGGTTGAAGTGCAACCTCTAGATAATTTAAAATCTTCTTATTATATATCTTTTCCCATTAGATAATTTTAAAAAAATTATATAAAAATATTATATTATAATAAACACATTGAATAACAATCCTCATATTAATTATGATAATCAAATATTGGTAAATGTTATATATTATTTATATAAATATAGATCTTTTTGTAATAATTTTTTAACAACAATTGATTTTCAAAATTTTATCAGATAAACAAGAGAACTTAGGTTTGTTTAACCAAATTTGGCAGTGCTAAACATACCTTCAACTTACGCAAAGGATGGAGGGGTATTATATTTAATAAATAAACAATTTAATAGGGAGAATTTATCAAAATTATTTAAAGAATGATCTTTATTTTAAATAAAATATATTAGATAATCCTCACAGTATCTTCATTCAGATCCTTATTGATTTTTTATAATCTTTATCAGATGTCAATCTGGTATGTGCATTATATTTAAAGAAACCATGTCTAATTTTTGTTTGTATTTGTCGAGATCTTTTCTCAAGGTTGAAATATTTGAATTAGGATACAAACTACACTTACAAAGTGTAGATTTATTTCACTTAACTTTCTTTATTGATGTAAAAAAAGTTTCAAACTGGAACCGGGCAAGGTTAAATCATCTCACCTGAAGAAATATGTACTATAGACATATGTTTTTTATAAAATAAATTATAATATTAGAGAAATTATATTACGATAATTAAATCATCAATCTTGACTGTATAATCAGCAACAAAAGTGTAATAAATAAAAGAACGTTGGTGGTTGAGTTGAATTAAAGACATAAATTATTTATAAAATAAAAAATATTTATTTCTCTATTTTTTAAGAAAAAACATAAAGTAAGGAGTTGCATTACTATTACTCAAAAAAATGATACAAGTAACGAAAGGCGTTCCTTTTTCTCAAATAAATAATGCCGTAACATCGCAGCGTTAATACAAAATCATTATATAAAAAAATTTTTTATGAAGAGAATACATTAGAAGTACCACAACAGAATTCGTATCCAACATATATTAGAAAGAGTAAATGAAACACTTTAAGTGTAAGGTGAGTCACTTGCGTTATATTAGGTGCAGAAGATGTAGTGGAAAAGGTTTAAAAAATATAAGATTCTAATAATGCTGCCACTATCATGGACCCAAGATAAAATATAAGAAGAATTTGGGGTAAAAAGATCCAAAAAAACTTATACAACTTAAAGGTTTTATGTCAGCCCTAATATAAAGCCTGGAGAAACAATAGCTACAAATACCGTTGATATATAGAAACTATTCATCGGACCAAGTCATGTGATGCCAGGCAAGAAAAACTTTAAATCTATTGTAATTGACGGAAGAAAAAAAAGCCTCCAAAAATATTAATTTAAGTAATTTAGGAGTTATATAATCGATTTAAAGAAGAGTATCCTAATATATAAGATTTCGAAATAAGCGGATCTACGCCCAAAAATGGGTTACTTGGATCAGGACTCATTTATTTGTGTAGTACACTAAAATTTGAAATGTATGTTTCCGATTAACCTGTGAAGATTAACGACTAAAATAAAAATTACAAAAATATATTAAAATTAATGCAACCCAGCACTCCTAGTTGCTATTTGGGTGTATGCGATTATTGCCTAAAAATGAGTATCTGTTTACAAACTACTCTGGAAACAATTACAAAACCGGCAGAAGAATTAGTAAATTTTTTATAGGAAAAATTGTACCCATTTTAAGGCATTCTTTTATTGCTGCTTACACATATCACTATATGATATTCTAAACTTATGGAATTTTTCATAAATAACAATATTTTATTCTTGAATATTTTGGTAATGGTTTGTTTATTAAAGGTAAAATTTAAATACCTAAAAATAAAAAAGATGATTAGATTAAAATTAAGGTTAAATCTGGTAAAAAGAAATAAATTGAAGAATAACCTCGATATTGTTGGGTAAATCGATCATTTTATCTTGCATATCTTTCGATTTTGTGGAATGTTTGCCCAACAAAGTCAAATTCTCGTTCATAACTTTATACATCTGCGATAAAAAAATCATAGAGGTATAAAATTAAGAAAAGTATCATACAATATATAACATATAAAGTTTTATTTAGTAATAAAATAAAACACAAACTTAACTTAGAATAGAGTCTATTTTTTGTGTGGAGATGAGCCTTAAAATGTGTGCCAATTCTAAAACCTCATTTTCAAAGAATAATATTAGAAATTTACACAAACGCCCTAAAACTTTTTTTTTGAGGAAATTCATCCTATCGCATAATTCTTCGATCTCGTATTTCAGGTCTCTTTTAACGTTTTCGCATTCTTGCTGCAAGGTATTCCGTTTGCTTTCAGCTTCGTTGATTTGTTGAATCAAAATCGATATCTTAATGAAGCATTTTAATATGTTATATATTTCATTTTTTAAGTTCATGCCATTTTATTAAATATTATTTAAAAACTACCATTTATATTATTAGTGTAATCTTGTTTTTGCAAAGCTATAAAAGTGTACATTTTCAGCACACATCAGCGGCACCAATAGAGCTAGCAATAAAAATTTCATTGAGCTATTCATCACAATCTTAAGAATTATGCAAAATTTCATTTGATTTTGAAAGAGAAGATAGAGGCAGGTTAATTTCAAGTGGAATGGATTTAAATCGGGACAATTTATGAGTAAAAATATCTAAATCAGATATCTGCATGGCTAGTTACATTTAGGTTCAGCATAGCAAGTCTTTTAAATATTTAAACTAATTTTCTCTCGATTTTATGCCTCGCCATAACAATGTATTCAATTATTAGGCAGTTTAACTTTTTTAATGATATATCAAATTAATGGGGAAAGGAGGAAAACATATGACCCCAGGATATTAAAAAGATTAGTTCTAAATGTATAAATATGTATATCCTATAAAGCTTAAATATGAGAAGGTAAAACAAAATGGAAAATAATCCGTACGAATATATAACAAAAACTGAAAACCGATAGTTATAGAAAAACTTATAAGTAGACTCTATTATCGCCTGCTAACTCCCAACTTAACATTTTGTGATTAGTCTTGGTTATAATTATTAGCTACATAATGAATAAACTTTATTTGTATTTTGATCTGGGATAATCTTGCCCCATTTAAAACACATTTGGGATAAACCTCCCGTACAAATTGTGAGTGCAGACGGTTGCTTCGAGGGAATTCTCCTATACTATATTATCCAAAATGAGGACCTGGAGACTTCCTACAATCCCAATTGATTTAATCTATTCTATATTGTACTCCTGATAAATTTTTTTTGTGCATCTTTGTTTCTTCTTTTCGCGAATATATGATTCTCGAATAGTAGTAAAGATTGATTTAAATGCTTTTCGTATGTAAATCTGTAAATTTTTTAGGTTATATATATCACCTCTTTATATCTTTTAGAATGTACATCCTTGTATTTTTTTAGAATGTGAATTCTTGTATTTTTTTAGAATGTGAATCTTTGTATCTATTAGGATGTTCATCATCTATCAGGATGTACATCCTTGTATCTTCTAAGATTAGCAACCTTTAATGCGCATCTTTATATCTTTTAGGATGTACATCTTTATATTTTTTAGTTTAAATTTTTAGGTGTTATGTCCATTATGATCTTTGCCTGCTGTGTCCAATATATTTTATTATTGTAATGTCATGGCTGTAGCTGCATTTTTACCTTCTCCCGTTTATTGTTGGAGCCCTCGCCTTTAACTTTATCTTTGTACTATCTACTCATTTCACTAAAACATTACATTTCAGCCAAATACTGTTTACATTTTTATTAAAAAGAAAGTTGAAAAAAATATTTCAGTAACTTATTAATATGTTTTATAATTCTATGCAAAACGCAAAATTAATATATTTTTAAATTAAAATTTTACAGTTTTAGAATATCTTAAATCGTATGATCTCATGATTTTATCGTAAACTTATGAAAATTTGAGCGTAACAATTGATATTCAATCACCCAATCATTTTTAAAAAATTGTTGTTCACCAGACAAGTATAATCTTACTATAAAATAAAAAGCCGTGTTACAGTCATATTTTGTAAAAAGTGCAACAACCATGAGTTAGAATCAAACTGGCGACTAAATACAATATCTGAACGTTTGTCGCAGCTGCCCATCGTCATGTCCTCAGAGGTTCTTATAAATATAATTTTTATCTATGAAATTTTTTTGATTTTTATAAAATATATATAATTGACACTTTTTATATGCTTTTCTTAAATATTTGTAAGATTAGCATAACTTTTGAAACATTATATCTAATTGTAATATAATGGAAAAAAATGTGTATTCTCCACATTTAACATATTTATTATTAAAATTTTTATATATAATATCGTTTTATGAAACTAGGAAAGGATAATATTTGTCACAAATGTATGTTTTCAAAGATTGCTCTGCCTATATATAAACTTGATTGGTAATCGTTTAATTAGATTTACAATAATAAAATTTTCTGATTAATTAAAACTCATTCTACTTAAATATTTGAAAAAATTTTTTCATTTCCTATATATATATAGGTATTATATATTATTAAAGAGTTTTTTAGTTTATATCTGAATAAAGGTATTCATTGTTTAATGAAAAGGAAATGAGATTCTTGAAATTGAAAACTGCATGTGAGAATGTATATATGGCAAGACCTAATTATGTGCTATTTGTTTTTACTGAAAGTACTAAATATATACTTAATTAACATATTTTATAAAAATAATGAAAAATTTCGGATTCATCTCTCAACATACAAAAGTAAATTTGTGACTCCCGACTAATAAGATAAGGAAATTTTTTGAATCACCCAGCATCAAATAAAGAATATTCTGATTCACCCGTCATTTTAGACGGGCTATCTGCAAGTTTGTAATAATAAAAAATTCAATAATGACTAATTATTGTCAGATATTAGGAAATTAAAGAAATATAAAGTTACAAAATATCGTTTCTATTTTTATCACATACGGTGCTAATCCCTGTAATCAAATATAGTTCTTTTGGGCATAACAAATATTTCAATTTATATTTAATTAAGAAGGAAACAAAACAATAGACCAGTATTAAAATAAATGCCAAGCACCTTATCCTTCATGTTATCGCAATAAGCGTGGAATCGGTCTTCTAAATTGCTTCTTTTTATGGTTTCACTTTTCAAATTGCTTTTCAATTCGGCTATCTCGTTCTGCAAAATATCTTTTTCATATTCATTACATTCCTCCTTTCGAGATTGAATTGGTGTCTCTTGATCATCGGTCTCAGGGACGTCTAATTTGATGGTATTAGGTCTAAATTCAATAGTTTTCTTTAAAAAAAATTTTTTAAATTATGACTTGTCAAAGAAATTTGAGCTTAAGTGGTGTATTTATGTTTCGAGGACACTAATTTAGGGTCAATAGTTGTAATGGTTGTGGCTTAAAGGTTACAGACAAATTAAGTATCCTAAGACACTGATAAAACAAAAAAGAAAGTTATTATTAACTAAAACTCCAAACTAATACCTAAGCCTGAAGATTGAAATAAAAAATGGGACCAGAAAAAATAATAAATATTCTACCAAAATTCAGAAAATGATCATATTTTATGGAATTATTTAGTTCATTGCTGAGATTCTGAGATCAAGCTAGTTTTTTTTTATAAATTTGTTATAAGTAATAAAGATCAAAATGTTAGACTTTAAGTAATGTAATATAAAAAATACACGTAACAATTAAGTTCGATATTAAAAAAATGTATTTAAAACTAATAACTCTTAAGCGGATGATACACACATCCAAATTTAGACAACATAAAGGTTTTATAAGTTCTTACTGATTTCTATAAATGTTGGGAAAAGTCTGACTCTATTTAAGCAGAAAATAATAAAAGGAGGGAAGAAACAAATAAATAAAGGATTATCAAAAACATATATAAAAAAACGTAACTTCTTGACTTCGATGTACCCATAAGATGTTAGGCAAATTTTTGCGATTTTTTTCGGGAAATTTTGAATCTTCGATGACTATATTGTCACCCATTTTTTCGTTGCAGCTTAGGTTGCGAGGGTATACTAAATGTTTTTTGCACTGGATGTTGCATTTTTGATAGAAAATTTTATTTTTAAAAATATTAGAATAAAATAAAACAAAAAGATTATATTTGATATTAAAGGTATGGAATTAAATACCATCTAATTTTTTTAAATAATAATTTTCATTAGATACGTCCCTATCTTAATGAATATAATAAGATATAAATATATTGATAATATACTTATAGTTAAATTCAAACATAGATAATATGATAAAAGATGAAAACCTTTAGCTGATAAGTTTCGAAGTGGGAACTGGAATTCGGTATCAAAATATCTTGAAAATTATGAGATATTTTTTTAAGGTAAACAAAATTTAAAATTTTATCTTCGTAAAATTATTAAGCTGTATGGATATAGATAAAGGATCCAGTATCGGACCTGGCATCTTAAAGATTATATGAAGGTCCGGGCGGTTCTATTATAATTGCAGCTTCTTAAGTAGTACTATATATTTTTATATATATTTCAATTATCTTATTTTTTTTTACTTTGTTCTTTATATTTAATAACTATATAAAAACATATGATAATCATACTAATTGATAAAAATAAAATTATAAATAGGAAAAATATCAGGGGCCATTATTTTTTAGTTGGGTTCCCGATTAGGGACCATAATTATATTTTAAGATTTTTATATGCATTTTTTGATGGAGATAGATAAATTCTCTGGGTTTATTTGTAAACGTCCTGATTTTTTCTTAGAAGTTTTAAAAATATATTATAGAGGAAAATATCCATTTATAATTACAACGATAGGGTGAACATATAGTTGTTAGTATTTAAGTCTTTTCTTTACCTTACTTTAGGTAGTTAGTAAAGGGCTCAATTTTTGTTTGATGGGAATGAGGAGGCACAAGTGAAATCCCAAATAGGAGATTTGCCTGGCTCTTAAGTAATTATAAATAATATCCTCTGATAATAGATTTATTCATAAATATCTAGGATGTGAGTTGCTTTTAGGTTCCGTATTATTGTTAGATTTATTGAAGTATAATTTTGGTGTCGGCTTTAACTGCATAAATAGTCAAGTCCATGACTCCCCTTAGAGGTGATGAAAGTTTTGTAGTCTCTAAAACTATTTGGTTGAACTATGAAACATCCTAATCGAAAATCTATGGCACTCTCAATTGTTTTTCTGATAAGAGATAGCTAAGGTTACGACTGGGAAAGAGCTTCAACCATTCTTGACCTCCTAGTTTGTTGTCGAACTGGAAGAGTTGTATCGAATGGGGAGGGGGCGGGGGTATAAATAGTATATCAGTATGAAAGTTTTCAGGGTTGTAAAAAGTTTTTAAGCTTAATAACTTGAAAAAGTAGTGAATAGTTAGATACTCCTCCTTCCAAGTATTGATTGCGTAATCTAGCATGATTGGTTAAATGAAGCCAGATATAATGGAATCATTCATCAATTTATGAGATAAACTATGATTAGGGTGTAAGATGAAGTGGAAAAAGATCCAGAGCCAAGCAGATTTTATAGGGCAATTGTGAAAGAGCCCATTTAAAATCGTTAATTTAATATTTAAAACTAGTACTAATCTTCAGGAAAAATTGTATTAAAAAGGAGTCAATTAGTTTTGCTTGAATAATTTTATAAAACTTACAAATTTTTAGTTATTATTTAGCGAAAAGAGATTTATGTAGTTATTTTATAGTTGGAAATAATTTTGATATTTGAGTTAATATTTAACTTTGTTTTATCAAATATATTTATTGCGTCCGTGTAATTAACCTATAATTTTACTGCTACCTTACCTTAGTAATATTGTATATATAATGACCCGGATAAATTGTAAGATCCCGACCCAAACTTAATCGAATACTGGTAAAAAAAATAGATCCGACTCGTTCCGGTATAAAACAGGATCCTGTATTTATAAATATAATATAGTATTATGTACGCTATTTATTATATTTAAAAAAAAGAATTGAGATTAATATTTATAAGATGCCTGTGATGATGATTGGCCTGGCCCAGATTTAAAAGACTTTTTATTTTTAAGGTTGGCTCGAATTTTTAAAATTTAGATTGTTTTCTATTTATTTCCTAATGATTTCAAAGGGAAATCCAGAATATGAGAATAGATTTGAAATGATCCATAGTACGATTTTTCAACTAGGTAATTTACATAAATAATGCATTTCTTAAATCTGGTCCGACCCAATTTGTAAATGTTTTCATTTTCAAATCCGACCTACAGTCTTTGATATTTACTTACAATAGGTGAAAATTTGTCCCTTATATAACTTACTTAAGGTTCTCTTATTAAATTAAAGTTATCGATTTTATAGGAACAAAATAATTTGCTTATTTGATAAATTTTTATATAAGTTTATATAAAAAATAAAAATATTCAAATAATCATCAATATTTTTACACTAATTAACTTATTTGATTTAAATTTTCTTTTTTACCTAAAAAGTTTGCGGTTTTTGAAGTTTCCATGCGATTTCTTGATGCCATTATTAATTAACGATTTTTTAAAAATATATACAATTTTTTTAAAAATATATACGATTTTTTTAATAATATAAATGAAATAATTTTCCCAAAGGAAAAGATTAATAAAATATAGGTTTTGGTAAAAAAAACATCAAAAATATAGTTTTCCAACTTTTGTTTTAACTCAAGGATCAATTTTTATTTTCAAAAAAATCTTAAATTGTTTAAAATGACCGATATGTTCTGATTCTACCGATATTAAATTTATATAAGCCGATCAACAATATTAACTATGATTAGAAGATTTAAATCAGCCAAATTTTTTTTTACAAATAAATATTTTTAAATATTATTTTATTTGCAAATTATATATTATTATAAAAATTAATTTTAATAAATAGTAACAACAAGTAAATAAATTTTTATTATTCTGAATTAAAATGAAAATTTAAACTATAATTTTTAAATATCATATATGAAAAATCGTTGACATTTGAATTCTCATTTAAATAAGAAAACTTGATGTTTGTTTTCCTATATTTTCGGTTCCCATATGATTCCTAAAATGAACCAAGAAGAAAATCTTATTTATACAGGAATAATTATATCTTCTTTAAATTGAAATTTTCTATGACAACCATTATTCACCTAGGTTTTTTAAAAAAAATTACGATTATTGCCATCCTGGTTATTAACTGATTCGATTTATAATAATTTAAGGGGAAAATATAGGAAATAAAATAAATTACAAAAAAAATAAAATTTACATAATATAGCAAATTTGGTATTCAGTTTTAATTCTTAAATTACCATCAATATTAACATTATCTTAAATAATTTTTTATTATTAATATAAATACAACCCAATTTTTAAAAAAACAGTGAGCAGACCAATCAGTTATTGATTTATAGTTTAAAAATATTATGTACTGATAATATAAATTCTTTCTAGAAAAGTAACTTGATATCTAGGTCACTTGGTAAATACGAATCAAGTGAATGCCATTTGTTGAGTAAAAAGTATGTTGGTAATATGCGTAACTTTATAAAAAATAAAATACATATAAATTAATATTAATAATATAGCTAATAAAAGGGTATGGAAATAAAAATTAATTCAATTTAAATCTATTAAATATAATAGCTAAAAAAAGGTTGGAAATATAATCTAAATGCCACACTCGGTTACTTTCCAATGGCAAATTCGGGGTTTTAAACACTATTTTGAAAAAATTTAGATAACATAGGCTTAATCGGATCTGATTTTCTCGAACCACCCCGGCCCAATTATCTTATCTCTGTTCTTAAAATCCGAATTCAAGTTCACAAGCCATTATAAAGTTCCGGTTTGATTTATAATAATAATCATATTTTCGCAATTATAGTTGCAAGGAAGATTGATATTACATAACCTAACAGCTTTTGCCTCTCTAAAATCCGATAAACCTCCCATTAGAATTCTTAAAGGTTCCAGGATACAAGTAGCTAAAGCCCTCTCCACTTGTCTTCAATCATTATTAAATAACTTTTTTCTCTTGACAATTGGCTCAAACATTTCTCATTTTTTTTGCCACTCTCCTAACTCCCAACGTAGAGATTCAAAAATACTTACCTAAAAAATCAAACACGCAACCGTACATCCACCAGCCCTTGCAACTACTGCAACCCCTTATCATAACCAAAAAAGGCCAAGACAATTTCTTAAACAAATATAATTTAAATATCAAATCCACCCTCCGCTTAGTAATACCTGATGACTCACTTGCAACAAATGAAGCAAGCTACAAGAAACTTAAATTAGAGCTTGTAACTTCATACCGCCTCCTCCACCTAACACATTCTGACTTCACCCCAACTGAAGTGCGTAAGTGTATTTTATCCTTCTACGACTTTTCACAAGGCTATTATGGGCTCCGTCCTATCTTCCTCTAGGATCTTACATCTCCCTTCATAATCAGCCAAGTTCTTATCTTTTAAATTTGACAGCATTCTGTTCAGTGCTAAATTAATAGCACTCGAAAAGTCAAATAAGGGGATTCGACTAATAGCAAATGGAACCGTATTTCGCCAACTTAGAAATTTATATCTACCAAAATTAAGGACACCACTGCATCAATTTTAGCAGCCTATCAACTTTGTATTGGTTTCAATAGAGGTTGTGGAGCCACAAACGTTACACGTATTCATCTCCAAAACAAATTAAATGACGAAATCCTCGTCAATATTGACTTTCCTTTAACTTTTATTTCATTTCACAAATATACCATTCATTTCTCATCTTTTCATAATTTTTATACTATTGGTAATTATTGCCGATTCATCTCCAATCCAAAATATATCTGTTTTCATCTTCGGAAGTGATCCAACAATCCTCTAGGTTCAGTACTTTTCTGAATAAGCATCAACGAAGCCGATTGTAATCACCCATTGCATACCTGCTACTGACGATTGAATACTCTCCCCCAAAAGAGGTAGCAACTGCACTAACCATCATTAAAAAACACTCCCAAACATAACTTAAAGCGCAGAAAACCGAGATCTTCCCAATATACTGTTCAATCTATTTAGCCCATAACTCCCACATAACCGAACTCTCGTCCCTTACTCATTGCTTCTCCCCACTCTCGTCCCTTACTCATTTCTAACCTAAAAATTTGAAATATTTTTTTAAGAAAGTTTATTTATATATAAATGAATCTTTTGCAATTTCTATGCATAAAATATATTTCAAGATGAAATATTTTTAATTATTCAAAAAATTTCTGAAGATTTTTTCAGATTTAATTCTTAAATTTAAAAAACCAATAGAATAGTTTCGCGAAACTTTAATCGCGTATGTTTATTGAATTATTTTATAGACAAACATTTGTATTCACATTCGCTAATACTATTCAACTAGGACCATATCGAGAATTTTTCTAGCAAAACTCTTATCGAGAACTCTTTAGAGCGAATACATAACCGTGAAACTTTCATCGTAAATATATAATAACAGTGAAAGCGAAACCCACATCGCGAAAAAATTAGCAAAAACTATTTTGAATCATATATAACAGATTTATTAACGTGTAGTTAATAAAGGGAAAAGCGCTAAAGCAATAAAGCGATAATTGCTAATAGTGACTATATTTAAATCAATAGTACGAAGAAAAAATTATATCTTTATTATATATTCTACTGAGTGATTTATCTTTTAAAGAATCAGTTTTTTTGATAATTCAGTATTATTTCAGTGCCATATAATAGGTCAATTTTAAAATATAGGGCCTGATAAATCTAGTGTTAATTTTAATACCTATATAATTTATCATAGTATAAAAAGTACAAATCGATTTTTGACAAAAATGTAATACCAAAAAAAGATAGAGTGATTATGATGAAAATGAAACGATTACAAATAGTTTTTATACAATGCTCAGATAAAGATAACTATTCTAAATGGAAATTGATAATATGAGGAGTAAATTAAATGTTAAATGAATCTTTATTAATTATTATGTAGCTAATTTTAAAAAAAGTTCATATGTCCAACCATTTTTGAAGTCAATTGTGAAAAATCTCAATTAATATCTCCCAATTTAATATTAAATTTTGTAATACTACTGGCCATAAATAATTGCCCACCCTGCATTTTCTTAACATTTTTCTTAAAATAAGACAAATAACACACAATATGAGGTTTATCGAATTTATTTATAAGTTTACATAATATTGCGTAATTTACAAAAAATAAAAGACATGACAATTATTTAAGATCAAATTTGGTCTCATCAATATGACCACCTTTTAATATTTGCTGCAAAAATTTTTGGTAATCTTTCGATGAGATATTTAAAAATTCGCAAGTGAAATTGTTCCATTCTCTCTGCAATACTTCCCAAAGGTGCGAATGAGAAGTTAGTGGCGTGCTTGTCGATCAAGGTGATCCCATAAAAGTTGGATTGGATTGAGATCGGGAGAATGGGATGGCCAAGTCATCAACTATACCGTGTAGTTGTAGATTTTGTTAATAATCTTTGCATAGCCTGGATGTATGTTTTGGGACATTATCTTGTTGAAATAAAAAGTTATTCCCGATCAAACACTTTCCTGATGAAATTACATGCTCAAGGATTTGCCGGTATCCCCTTTGTTAAGGATTCCTTTAATTTTGACAATGTCGGCGGTTGCCCTGGCACCAAAGCACCCCCACACCATAACAGGCCCTCCCCCGAATTTGACTGTAGGAATTATGCAGTGATAGCTCATTCGCTCTCTAGCTGAGCGGAGGATATATTGCCTTCTTTTAGAACCGAAGGTTTCGAATTTTGACTCATCACTCCATAAGACGTGGTACCAGTTGGCAGATGTCCAAAATTGATGTTTTCGTGCCCAGTCTAATCGCTTGAGTTTATTTTTTTTGCTCAAGAGTGGCCTTTTGACCGCTACCCTACCATAAAGTTCAGCTCCTAAGGCGCCTTTTCACAGTTGTGACACTTATCGGATTTTCCCGAGTCAGATTTATCACCTGAGCTATCCCTGAGGCGACAATGCGTCGATTGCGTTTACTGATCTTTGCTATATACCTATCATCGCTTAAAGTCGTTTTGCGGGGTCTTCCAGGCCTCTTTGGATTCGATATTGTATTATTGTTGCGTAATCTTTTAAGTATACACGAACTAGGGTTAATTTCTGGCAATTCGGCGATTACTTTTACCATTTATGTGTAAATTAATTATTTTGCATTTAGTTGGAATAGAAATTTCTTTTCTTTTCTTTTAATCATTTTTGTCGAATGTTCGTTAAAATATTTAAAAAGACTGAAAGTTTCTTTAAACAATGATTTAAAACAAAAAAAAACTAGGAATTTAAAAATAGGTATTAATAAGCAGATTAGAATGTGATTAATGACTTTCTTCCAAAAAACAATGGGCAACTTAAAATTGTTGCTTAAAAAAACTAAAGAACCTTATTTTACCAAATTGGTCATTTTTGATATATTATTTTCAAGGGCTAAAATTTCACAGAAAGATTTATAGAAATACTGAGTTTTTTATTTCTAAACATCTAGACATCTTAAATTAATTAATCAATTCGCTTTTACCCAAATAAGTTAAAAAGTTTAAGTTTTTAATTTTTTTATGTAAAAATGCAGGGTGAGCAGTCATTTATGGCCGGTAGATCTATGAAATTATTGAAAATTTTAAAAAACAAGGTTAAAAAAATTTGTAAAATTCTAAAAATAAATTTTTTAAAAGAAAAAAAAATGATATGAAGGGAGATAATATTCTAAATCTTAAGTTAAGTTTAACATTAATTACCTTTTATTGTTTGTAATTTTGGTTAACAATTTTATATGTGAATATATTAATTGGGGAATTTTTTTTTCGAAGATATATTTATGATAACTATTTTTTCCTAATTTATTAATTTCTAAAAAAGAAATTTTTTATAGAATCCAAAATATGGAATTTATAGGGGAATTTTTTTTATGGGGTCCGGAGAATTATTTTCCCGGTGAGTTTTACATCTGGATTTTCCTGGAATTTTTTTCCCGGGAAATTATTTTCTTGGAAATTTCTTTCCGGAGTATTTTTTTCCCCTGGAGATTTTTTCATGGGAGTAAATTTCGGAGAAATATTTTCTGGTATAATAAACAACCTGGAAATCAAAATTGAATATGATACAGCTTCAGCCAGCGGTAATCATTAATTCAATAATATGGAACAAAATCAAACAAAGTTTCACCACTATTTTTGGCCTATTCCAATTTGTGTAATATATTTATAATTATATTTATCAGAGACCTGCAGGCCCGGCCCTAAACCCGGCCCGGCCTTAAATTTTTTAAATATACCCGGGCCGGGCCGGGCCTAAAAAAATTTTTTTTAAACATATCCGGGCAGGGTCGGACCTAAAAAAAATTTTTTTTATGTATCCGGGCCGGGCCTTATTTTATAAAAAATTTTACATTATGAGTTAATGGTTATAAGATTATATTATATTATAGTTATGATATAATATTGGGTGATGGTTAACACTACCTAACACCCACAGATCGA